TCTAATCTTGACGCTAGCGCCGTGCGCCGTGCGCCTGGCCTCATCAAATGGCCTCGATAAGGCGGATCTTGGGCTCACACTGCGCCATGCGACGGACCTTCGCAGCGCGCACTCCCTCGGATCATGAAAATGCCGTGTTGGCGTAGTGGTAGCGCGTCTCACTCGTATTCTCCTGTTCTGACTACATGAGAAGGTCACTTGTTCAATCCAGGTACGCGGCATAAGAGGGCTTCTTGAGATTTTTTGCTGATACCTCGCCATGGTTAAACGCTCAGAATCCCTCTTAGGTTTCCTGCCTGCGTCTTCGACGGATCTCTACTATCTCCGTGCGACTGATGCTGCCATAGGCCAGAATTAGAGCAGCTGTTCGAGGGTGCATACTGCATACATATGCATCGTGAACATGCCAGCAGCGCAAGCGCGAGTCGGCGCTGTAAGTCTAGAGTCGGAATGGTACTTGATGGATGTGCTCCATTTTCAGAGCGACTTGATGGTGCCCAAAGTACTACCCATTTCTGGGGATGGTAACTTCTAATAGATGCAGAGCGTCCTATGTACGCTGATTTCGAATTGGGAGGATTCCTGCGTTATGCCCATTTCTTCCTGTAGTTATAGAGCAAGCTCAAAGTGTCAGCCGCGTTGGCGTAGTGGTAGCGCGTCGCACTTGTACCTTGTTGTCAATGCGAAGGTCACTCGTTCAATCCGGGTACGTGGCATCGCCCATTTGTGTGGTTTACACTTTTGTTATCTGTTTTGATGCACATTATCTTGCTTAGAAGCATATCGGTGAGGCTGGCATCTGCTCTCGTACGCATCTATCAAAGCCATTATTATAACGCGAGCGTGCGCTTAGCACCTAGCCGCATGATCAATACCATGATACTCAGCAGTGCGGCGCCATGACGGTCAGCCGATAACTCCATCGAAGTGTGTGTGGAGAGAGACGCATAGGCGACGATGAGATAACAAGACGCCTGAATAACGTTTACAGACGAGGTACAGTCTATTCAATCTAAGCTCATCTCGATACCACGGAAGTACGACATATAGAATGCGGAACGGAGCACCGCCTAGTAGCGAGGGGCATCATGGTAGCCAAATTTCACGTAAAATATCAGAAGTCCGATCTTGGGAATGCCTGGTATTCAGAGCCGACCTTCATCCAATATCCATCCCCTACCTTGACAGTCTCGACCCGCTTGTCTGTATGTCTCGTTATCCTGGCCGTCAAGTATGGAGGGCACAAGGTAGCCCTACACGTAACCGATTCCAGACCTGGGACCGCATCCGCGAGGTCCTTCACTTGAGATGCTAGCTTATCTCGTCTGATATCATCCGGAGGAACAGTTCCAGATTCACCGTAATAGTCGTGGTCGAGAATGTATAAATGTTTTAAAGAGTTAAATTTATTCAGATCAGTGGCGATCGAAACCTAGGAAAAGAGGTGAGCCTTTGAATAGAACTACTAATGATCCTGCTCACAAAATTCAAGAGGTAACATTTTGTGACATGAAAGCCGATCTCTTCTAGATTAGGTGCAGCACGAACGATAGAGTGCATGAAGCCATCGAACACAGTTCGTGATGACATGGGTGTGCCTTCTTTGAAGCTACCATCATCGCTTTCATACCAGAGACTGCCCTCTCTGTTTCGGTTCCGCTTGTGTGAGTTAGGGCTTTGGCTAATTTCCAAACTCTTTAGTTTGGGCAGACCGTTCCGGCAGACACATCGAAGAAGATAAGGTATCTGCGCATTGATTGTGTCGAAAATGGAGAGACTTAACAACTGGCCAAGAATTGGCGCAAGACGTAGAGCATACTTCCAGCGAACCTATAGAAAATAGCATGAGTTCCTTATACCGCCCATAAAATCTCGGCTTTACGTACCTTGAGATGCAGAAGATTTGGGAGTAAGTTGTCGGGAAGTGGGGATTGTAAACCAATGTTTAGATGTGTCATAACATCTCAAATGAAGATATTCAATAGAGGCATGTCTTTCCCAGAATGACATGGCCTCTCCTGTATCTGGTTCAAAGCCATCCAAGGTCAAGGATCGCAAGCAGGGGAAATGCGCTCCCAAGATAAGCGAAGGGGACTCGACTTCAGGTGCAGCAAAATATAAGGTGTCTAGTGAACAGGCCAAAGAAGACATATGTTGGGAGAGTTTGGCGATATTGATCGTCGGATCTTCGCTCGTTGGCAGAGTGAACAATCTGAGGGAGAAACCTGTGATACCCTAGTGCATCCATAAGAAATCGAGGTTGCCTTTGAAAGGATATATACATACTGGAACATGGAGCATCCCAGATTCCTCAATCCATAGGTTTTCATCATCCTCGCGAAAGCCATGCAGAACGACGGTACGAAGTCTTGGGCACCTTTCTTTGATCTGCAGCCACCATCCCTTCTCAAATCGACCGAATCCGTCCACTGCCTCGAAGTTATTGTTATCGTCATAGTACCACCAACTGCTTAGATGGAGACCCAGCGCGTGAAGGAATGGCAGCTTCCCCTTTGATATAACGTCCACAACTTGCCTGATAACGTCTGAAGAGGGTTTACTGTTCCGTGTTTCAAGCGATAGATGTGACATGATGTGCACTTCCCGGACAAGAAGCCCAAAATCCGGATCGCTCAGTAGTTTTCCCAGGATAAATAATGCGTCTCCCTCGTTCTTCAGAATCATGCAGGAAGGGAGTAGAGGAAGAACAATTCCTGAAATGTGGCGGTTGGTTAACGCGAGGGCGAGCAGAGTCGAAGGGGTTGCATAGAGTGGGAGATGAGCTAAAATAAGGGGATATATCTCTGGTAGGAGCTTGGAAATTGGATCCTGATCAGTGGTCATGATATCGTCCACAGGTTTTGTTCAAGTCGCTTTAGGAGGTGGTTAGAACTGTAAATTCATCAATCATTCGTCAAGTTTATACCTATTTCTGACAGTCCTTAGTAATGTGCTGCGTGATCAGTCAAAGCGATTGTTATAACGCGAGCGTGCGCTTAGCACCAAGCTGCATCATCAATACCGTGATACTCAGCAGTGCAGAAGCATAGGCGACGATGAGATGACAAGGCGCCGGAATGACATGTTACAGACGAGGTACAAGATCTATTCAATCTAAGCCCATCTCTAATTGTACGAAAGTACGACATATAGAATGCGATAAAGTGTCAGAAGTCACTGGGAAATGCCTGGTCTTCGAAGCCGACCTTCATCCAATATCCATTCCCTACGTTGACACTCTCAACCTGCTTGTCTTGATGTCTCGTTATCCTCGCCGTCAAGTATGGAGGGTACAAGGTTACCTTACACGTAACCGATTCCAGACCTGGGACCGCATCCGCGAGGTCCTTCACTTGAGATGCTAGCTTATCTCGTCTGATATCATCCGGAGGAACAGTTCCAGATTCGCCCCAATAGTCGTGGTCGATGAAGTATAAATGTTTTAAAGACGTGAATTTATTCAGATCACTGGCGATGGAAAGCTAGGCAAAGAGGTGAGCCTTCGAATAAGAGAACTACTGATGACTACTGATGATCCCGCTCACGAAATTCGAG